TTGTGAAGCTGTGTTGTGTTAAATTGGATTTAATTATTTTATTAAGTGGTGAAATAATATTAGAAGAATGATATTATTTGATGTGGGCTTGTTTTAAAGGAATGGAAGTAGTAATAAGGGGGTGTAGTAGTCTTAAGCCCATTAAGGAATAAAGAGAATAATAGGATTATTTTATTATTGTTAGAAATAATAGAAAAGAAGGAAGCAGTAGAAGAATAAGGGTTAGAGAAAGAACGTGACAGTTGTTGGAAAGAGGAAAGAGGCAGAACGGGAATTCAACTGGAAGTTATAGAGCAACCTTCAATCCAAGATAAGGGTGTGGTTCTGACTCTATAATAGGGTTCATGATAATTGGTATGTGGGGTTAGAGGTGAAAGATTGTTTGGTTTATGCATGAATGTATATGATGTTGTATGATGAAAAATTGATGAATTATGGATGAATAATGATGTCCCGATGCTGTTTAATTGATGTATAATTATAGGATAATTGTAAGTGATGATTATCTATGATTAGGAGATGTTTTTAGGGCTTAAAGTATGGAACTCGTAGTGAAAACGCAAGAAAATCACAGAAATTACCCATAATAGAGCAGTATGTGTCGACCCCAAATGGTATGTGTCGACACAAGGAAGTCTTTAGACTCAGGATGAGTCGACATGAATGAGTCATGTGTCGATACATGAGGACTTTTAGACTCGGGATGAGTCGATACGTAGGAGCATGTATCGATACATGAAGTGTGACAAACTCAGTATGAGTCGATACAAGAGAGGATGCATCGACTCATGTAATGTGTTGAACCCAGTAAGCGTCGACCCAAGGCATTATGCATTGATCCATGTTGTCTGGTTTTTGGTAGAATGAGTTTGAGAATGCTGTAACTTGAGTTTTTGGACTCTGTTTGAGGTGTCGTTCAAAGCGTTGAATAGCTAACGCGATAAAATTCATTCTTAAGGATTAAAATGAAGAATATGAAGGATGATCCTAGTATCCAAGTTAGGAATCAGATTAGTTTCCGTGTTGATCGTTATGTTGATTTTTGTGAAGAATGATGAGGATGAAACATTTATAGGTTACTGTCTGATTTGTAACAGTAGGATTAATGATGATAATGATGTAGTATTACAGAATAATAATATGCAGAGGTTGGGTAATTTATAAGTAAGCCTTAGTTGATTAACTAGTTATAGGCGAACCATGTTGTAGGCCTATGGCCAACGTTGCGAGATTGACGAATTGTTGTTGTAACGTTGTTGTGGCTGAATTGCTGCGAAATATATGATGTATGTATATATGATGTTTGATGAATTATGATGTTGATAAATGATGTTCATGAAAGATATTGAGATGCCTCTAATAATTGGCAGCTATTAAGATGTAGGCTTATGGCCAATGATGATGTTGTGTTGAGATGTTGTTAATTATGGTGTTGTCATTACATTCATGATTGTATCGCATACATTGCATTTCAAGATGGAGCTTATGCTCGTTAAGATGGCCTGTATTGGAGGATTTTAAGATGAAGGCTTATGCCTTGTTGATGCCTCTATTTATTGGCAGATTTTTAAGATGGGAGTTCTGCTCCAATGGTACCACATGTATTTGCATAGTATTGAGTCACATTATACGATTGCATAAAGAAGTTGTGAATTGATGTGATGAATGTGTATTATTGTTGGTATTCTCTTTGCGATTATTGTTGATTATAAGATGAGAAGTGGTGATTTTATGTGATCTAATTCAATATATTAATTATCATACGCTTTATTATATTGTTAGATATCTCACCCCTTCTGTTTGAATGTTGCCCTTATGTTGGTAACGTGCAGGTAATCGAGAGTGAAGGTTGTATACCTTCATTAGTTCGAGTCGGTGTCATTGCTCTGATATGTAACACTCGGGGGGGGGGGGGGGGGGGGAGGGGGGGTGAATGCTTGTTGCTTTTGATTGTTGATTATTCAGTTGTTGAACTTTAAGTTGATTATTATTAAGTATGTGTTGTTTTGAAGTTGCTGTAACGATGATAAAGATGTTATTAAGAATTTCGCTGCATAGATGTTAAATTGTTAATTTATGAGATTTAATTATTAAGCTGATGGGTCATCCAAAGTTTTAAAGTGTTATATATCCACGATGAATGCAATGAGTTTTTAATGATGAATTTGTGGCATCTTGATTCGTTTGCATGAATGATTTTATAACTCTGATTTATTTATATAATTTTCGGGTAGAATTGGGGTGTAACACTACCTACTCACTAATAGTAGGATAGCATTATCTAAAGGAAAGGAGGAAAATAACACCTTTTTCGAGTAGGTAGATAGTTGTTAGGTACTTCATCAAAAACCATTTTTTCACCTTACACTTTCAAAACCATTTTAATAAAACGCTTTATCAACACTCTTGAGGACTGATACAAGAGTTAGCATAAAGAAAACAAACTTTTCAAAACACACAAACACAAAATTAATTTTCAAAATGAGAAAGTACCCAAGAGCCCGTAGAAAACTACGGATGGAAAGGGTGCTAACACCTTCCCTTTCCATAATCTACCCCCCTTACTCAAAACTCTCGAAAAAGGTCTTTTTTTTTCACCCTTTCCTTTGTTGGATAAAAGAAAAGTCGGTGGCGTCTCTTGCTTACCGCACATTTGTGAATATAAAACGCAAACAGTATAACAGTCAGTTCTGCCACCGTATCACACAAAGTACTTCAATTAAGTATCTCTTCAAGTAAATCAACAAGGGTTCTGATAGAATATCGGTTGTGATAGTTCCTACTGATAGCACATGTGTCAGTGATGTTGATGAAATCAAACAATACATAGATTGTAGATATGTGTCTCCAAGTGAAGCATGTTGGAGAATCTATTCATAGTCTATTAATGGAAGGAAATTGGCTATCAAAAGATTGTTTTTCACTTGGAAGGAGAAAATTCAGTGTACTACAAAGACTTTGAACAAATTGGAAATGTCCTACTTAAGGCAAGTGTAACTGAATCAATGTTTACTTCATGGTTTATTGCAAATAATGAATATGAGGAAGCAAAATTGTTGACATATGGCCAATTTGTCTCTAAATTTGTTTATTACATTAAAACAAGAACTTGGAAACCCAGGAAAAGAGGTTATACCATTGGGAGATTACTTTGGATCCCACCATCAATAGGAGAATTGTATTATATGAGGATGTTGTTAACTGTTAAAAAAGGACCAACAAGTTATGATGATCTCAAAACTATTGAAGGTTTTAAGCATAAAAGTTTTCGAGAGGCGTGTTTTGCAATGAGATTTCTCCAAGATGACAAGGAGTTTATTGAGGATTTAAAGGAGGCGTATAATTGGGGTTCTGGTGTCTTTCTACGGAAACTCTTTGTTGCAATGTTGTTATTAGCTTCCATGAATCGACCCGATCATGTTTGGCGCAATACTTAGATTTACTTATCAGACGGAATACTATATGAACAAAGAGTTTTGTCAATGAATTCAGGTACTTTATTCTATATCTAATTTTACTAATAGCATTGCCTTTATGTTGTCTATAAATTTTATTAATTTGATCACTATAACTTTTAAATTAGAATTATCACTATCTGAGAAGGAAATTGAACAACTTACTTTAATAGAAATTGAGAAGCAATTACAAAAAACATAAGGAGCTTAAAAGAGTTTAAGCCAATGCCGTATCCAGATGATTATGTTATGGATTTTCTTGGCAACCGATTGGTATATGATGAACGATAATATGATATTCCAACTGAGAAAGCTAAATTCCAAGCTTTGTTTAAATCCTTAACAAGTAACTTCTATAGTGATATTCATTTCTTAATTTGATTTTCTGGTCCTATTAATATATTTCATTATGAGATTTTAGACAAAAAAAACTAATCCTATTTATTATAATTACAGTTTTTTTGTTCAAATAAGAATATAATTTTATGTTATGTTTTTTTACAAAATGTTGATCCAATATATTCATTTCCTTGCAACAATAATATTTTAATTTCTTTTCACTATGAAAACGTATGCACATCCCCAATCTAACCCAACATATGCATACTTTTAATGTTGTAAAGCTTCACTGATGTTACCAAATAAATGACTTTTTCTTGCTCCATTGGCTTTGCAACTAACACTCTGCTACATTCTCAAAATCTTCTAAAACATTATATTTATTATCATTTAAACTACAACAATGCAAAGCCACTGATTACTTTAATGAAACTTATTAATTTACCAAACTTTGACATGTTAACTTAAATATTTCAATAAAAACATATTTACCTATTGCTACATATCAAAAAACATATTTATCCACACACAAACATAACACTAAAAATAACCAACATATTTGTCATTACAACTTCTAACTTAACTACCAAATATCATCAAATCAGTTGCAAAAAAATATACATCAACATATTATCTTACCTATGCCTACATATCACAACCAAATTATCAACACACCAACTATTAACTTAAAAGGACCAACATAGTTGTCATACATTTTCTAACTTCAATTCAAAATGTTTTCGGATCAGTAGCATTATGCGGCATATAACTAAAACTTAAATCTCAAAACAACCATAATTATAAGAAATACCATTCACAAAACACTTCCCACTATTTGACTACAACAAAGTTTAACATCCATCTAAATAAATCCACTTCAGTTTAAACGCTTTGTTACGGACACAGTCAACCTGTCATACGGATTAACCAAACTGAGGTGCACGACATCACCTCTCTTTAATTAACGTCTTCTGGCAAAATCAGTCCAACCCTTCCATATGAATTTTTCATCTTCATCCCTTTTAGCTTTAAGAATTTCACAACCATACGGTCTTCCAGTGTCCAAGTCTAACATTTCAATATACCGTTGGCTCCATAGTAAGCATTATGCCGATGCGTGTCTTGGAAAATTCCTCACTTTAAAAAATGATTGTATTTACACAAATATTTTCTGAATATAACTCCAGATTGAAAAGTTATTAACAATCAGCTTAACAACACATTCTTCATGGCCTTAGCAGCAGAATTTATTTTCACATCCCAAGAATAATCTCCATTGTTGTTGTACCGTGCTGCATTACGATCTGGGCCATAACTTTCTTCCGATGAAAAACTGTCATTGGAACAGAGACTCTCCACACTGGATTCGCTTGTGTCGCTTGCATCACTTCCACTGTAAAAATCATTTTGAGAAAAACAAAATTTCATGTCGCATAGACCTAAACAGACCTATTAAACATGTATTGTACTGAATATCAATTAACAAATGACATGCAAACACCATCTTTCAGATTATTAGAGTTTTAGAGTGCATAAACATGAAACGGTTAATAGGTTGAGATGGAAAGTGATTGCGGTACTGCGAGATGAACCAAAAATAGATTTGTCACATTTTCAATTACTAACCTAACACATGCAATATAGATCCAGACGAAACGAAGAATACAAGAACATAACGGTTCACAAAGTAGAACCTGATATGCATTTTTCAACTGAATCAGTTTTTACGGTGCCCAGATGTGCAATAACATTTATTAGTTAATCAAATTCCGTGTGAAAATTTGTTTGGGTTTACCTTCTACTGGAAGAGGGATACGTTGCTGGAGATGGGCCAGCGCTAATCTCCATATTTGAATATGGAGAACTCTGTTTCACTATTTTCAGAGAGAAAATATATCAATAAATTTTGTGACCATAACTGTTATGCTACTTTACAAATTACATGTAATGGGTTTCAACCGTGGTCCATTGGGTTGGACAAGTGCCTTTGGGACCTTCACTTGTGTTGGTCTATCTAAAATAAGCATTGCAAATGTAAAATATTTATCACTTACATATGCTACTTGTATAATATTTAACTTATTATGTTATTATAGTTTCATGATTTTTCAAGACTAACACACTAATATTTTCCATTCATTACAAAGATGAACAGATGCAATTTTCTAACGAAATTATGCAAGCTGTCAACGAAGATAAAGGAGGAGTATTTTTTATATGGTTTTGGTGGTACTGGAAAAACTTTTATGTGGAATACCCTTTCAGCAGCTTTACGTTCTAATCGCGATATTATATTAAATATCGCGTCAAGTGGTATAGCAAGTCTGGTTCTACCTGGGGGAAGAAAAGCACATTCAAGATCAAAATTCTGGTTCCATGTATTGAAACATCAATTTGTGACATAGAAAAAAATGATGACCTTACCGGTTTGTTGAAAATAACAAAGTTGATCATTTGGGATGAGGCTCCTATGGCAAACAAGTAGTGTTTTGAATCCCTTGACAAGTCATTGAAAGATATCATGGTTACTAAAGATAATCCTTGTGAACAAATATTTGGAGGGAAGATTGTGGTGTTTGGTGGTGATTTTAGACAAATCCTACCGGTTGTGCCGAGAGGAACCCATTATGATATAATTCATTCTAGAATAAATGCCTCATATATTTGGGAATATTACAAGGTTTTAACACTCACCAAAAACATGCATCTGGATTCAACATTAAACACTTCAAATGCTCAAGTGATTGAGAGTTTCTCTAAATGGATATTAGATGTGGGAGATGGCAAAGTATCAGAATCAAATGATGGATATGCTGAAATTACAATTCCACCCGAATTTATATTAATAGATTTTATGGATTCAATTGAGAAAATTGTTACCAGTACTTATCCAAACCTACTTGAAAATTTCACAAATCCAAATTTCCTATAAAGTAGAGCTATTCTAGCTTCAACTATAGAGATTGTGGATGAAATAAATGATTATATTACTAAACTTCTTCCAAGTTACTATAATTTATACATGACTTAATCATTCTATTTTCATCTACCATTGTAACTATGTAACACTTTCTTTTTTTTATAGGTGATGAAAATGAGTTTTTGAATTGTGATACTATTGATAGATCAGAAGCAAATAAAAATGAGGCTTTCGAGCATTTGACACCAGAGTTTTTAAACTGTCTAAAAACATCTGGTTTGCCTAGCCATTTATTGAAATTGAAGATTGACACAACCATTATGTTAATAAGAAATTTGGATCAATCATAAGGACTCTGTAATGGTACGAGATTGACGGTTACAAGGCTAGCAAATCATGTAATTGAGGCAAACATTATTTCAGGTACACATATAGGAAACACTATATACATTCCTAGAATGTCTTTGTCTCCTGGACAATCTCCTTGGCCATTCAAACTTATTAGAAGACAATTCCCCATTATTGTTTCATTTGCAATGATAATAAATAAATCTCAAGGTCAATCATTAGACTATGTTGGTTTATATTTGCCAAAAAACGTCTTCAGCCATGGACAACTTTATGTTGCAATGTCAAGAGTCAAAAGCAAAGCAGGTTTGAAAATATTAATTCATAACAAAGAAAAAATGCCATTACATGAGACAATAAATATGGTTTTCAAAGAAGTGTTCAACAATGCCCTATAGGTACTCTCTTACTATCTCACCCACTGTTTCATTTTTATCCATTCATTACTATTATATAAAATTGTCATTTATAATACTAACACCCTATTATATTTTACTACAAACTTCCTATAATATTACACCACAAAGAATAATGTTTCACAATAACAATAAAAATGTTAATCCTTACAAACATTATAGTATATGGACTAATTTAGACTCATTTTTATTATAGTTTCAAAAACCACAACATGTTTAAATTTATCTTTCATATTAAATTTATTCTAATTCTGGTATTTCTATTCTTTTCAGGAGTCTATCAATAACTTGAAAATGTTATCTCATTTTGTTTTGAAGTTATTTCAATTACTCTCTTTTATTATGGTTGTTACACATTTCATTATGAAATGATAAATTATTATTCTCAACGAGAAAATCACTTAACATTTATATCATATCCACTATATTTTATGAATCTTAATTCAAAAGTTTATAATTCTTTTATATTATAATATACACCTTAAGATATAAATTTACCCGTTCGGACAGACGAGTCTCCAACTAGTAAATAAAAGAAATGACACATATCAAATACTTTAAAATTTTGAATAAAAATATGATCTTAAGATATCTTAGGACTAGACGTTTATCCTACAACTCTCCAATATATTATAATACTAACAAACAATACCCATAAATACTTGGCATACATGACATACTAAATCTTTCTGTCTCCTTTTACCTTTTCCTTTCAAATATGAAGAAATTCTTTTGTTTATTACAAGTGTTAACTATATTTTATTTCCTTTGTCTCTCTCACATTTTCGTATCGTCAAATCTAACTATTTTATAAACTTATCTCTAGACCAAACCAAACCAAACCATCTCATAGATTCTTGTTACTCACGCCATTGAATATTTCTTCGATCACTCGTTTCCAAAAGTCAAAGCTATTCTATATTCTCTTAATACTTTCTACTATATTGCTACGAAATCACCTTCAAAATAAAAAACAACACGCTACACCCAAAAACACATCAAGTTTACGAACTTTATGACACACACAAACACATATTCATCAACAACCAAATTTCATCATCACAAAAAAACTCAAACCTCACAAATATGCGTTGCAGACCTCATTGCTTTTTGTGCTTCTATTGCACAGTCTACGCCCTAATATTCTTCCTCATAATTACCTCAATAATCTTCTTGATAATAACCTCTCCCTCAAGCGTGAAATTCCATATAACCGACGCTACTCTTACCGAGTTCAACCTCACAAACAACAACCTATATTACAATTTCAAAGTCAACATGACAGCACGAAACCCTAACAACAACATCATAGTCTATTATCGAAGAATCACCGCGATTGCTTGGTACAAAGACAATGAATTCAGTTATGTGAGTTTGGTACCCTTTGATCAAGGACACAAGAATACATCATATCTTGGGCCTATAGAGTTCAAAGGGAACCGTGTGATTAATCTAGGACGTAAACAACTTGATGAGTACAGCGAAGAGACGCGTCTCGGGATTTACAATGATTTGGCTGTTGATTTGGATGTTCGAATTAGAGCTAAGTTTGGAAGCTTCTTTAAGAGTGGACGGTTTAATCCACCGGTTGTGCAGTGTCGTCGTTTGACCATTCCTTTGATTTCTGCTAACTCATCATCTTCATCAACAACATTTTCTTTTAGTGAGAGAAGATGTAGCAGCGCTTCTTTCTTTACAGATCGTGATGCAGAAGCAGGAGCTTGATATGTATAATGAATGAATAATCATAACAATTTGAATTTGTATACTGTTTTTTTCACTTCAATTACATTCAATCTACAATTTCTTATTGTGTTACATATTTATGTATATGACAAAGTTATGTTTGTTATGTTGAAATAAAACATTAAATGGGTTAGAAATAAATGATTAGTATTAACTATGGTAGTAGGAAAGGCATTAGTTTTCTTTTGTAGTTATGTAGCAGTTATGTTGTTTAATTTACTGTTTTAGAATTGTAAAAGTTTTGTTTGAGTTTATAAAAGACCAAGTGTGTGTAATTTATTTACGAATAGCAATATACAAGAAGTTAAAAGTATACAAAGTCTGATTAATATTCTACAAATTGGCATCAGAGCTCATGGCGAACATGATGAACCAAATGCCGTTACCACGGCTAACGAAGTCAAACTATGAAAACTGGAGCATCCAAATGAAAGCTCTTCTTGGATCTCTAGATGCGTGGGAAGTGACCAATGATGGGTTTGAAGAACCAACAGAAATTGGAGGATATACAGCAACCCAAACGAAGGCGTTGAAAGAGACGCGAACGAAGGACAAAACAGCACTATATATGTTGTTCAGGACTGTGGATGAATCAGGCTTTGAGAAGATTGCTAGTTCGACTACGTCGAAACAAGCGTGGGACACGTTAGAGAAGGTGTTCAAAGGAGCAGACAGAGTGAAGCAGGTTCGACTCCAAATGCTTCGTGGCGAATTGGAGAGGATAAAAATGAAGGATACAGAAAATGTATCAGATTACATCACTCGTGTGCAGAAAGTGGTGAATCAACTCACAAGAAATGGTGAGACAGTAGCTGATGCAAGAGTTGTTGAAAAGATCTTAAGATCTTTAACAGACAAGTTTGAAAATCTGGTGTGTGTAATAGAAGAATCGAAGGACCTTTCGACGCTCTCAATCGAAAAGCTCACTGGTTCGCTCGAAGCACATGAACAAAGAAAGATGAAGAAGAAAGAAGAGGTAGACGAAGAAGCAAACCAAACAAAAGAATCGAAAGATGAAAAAGTACTCTTCTCGAACAACTTTCGAGGAAGAGGACGTGGACGTGGAGGACGTGACAGTGGTCGAAGTGGTAGAGGCAGTAACTTCGAAAGAGGAAATTGGAGCCAACAAAACTGGCGTGGCAGAGGACGTGGCCAAAGAGGTGGTCGTTCGAATTATTCAAATTTCGAATGCTACAAGTGTGGCAAGTATGGCCATTACGCGAAGGATTGCAACTCCTACAAATGTTACAACTGTGACAAAGTGGGACATCTTGCAAAAGACTGTCGAAATGAAAAGAAGACCGAAGAGACAACCAATCTGGCTTTGGAAGCTGAATCGAATGAAGGGTTTCTCCTGATGGCCCAAAACGAAATCAACACCAATGACAGTATTTGGTATCTTGACTCAGGAGCAAGTAATCACATGTGTGGTTACAAACACCTGTTTAAAGATATGAAGGGAGTTGAAGATGGCAGCGTGTCTTTTGGAGATGCATCGAAGGTAAAAGTTGAAGGAAAGGGCACAATCAGCTATTTGCAGAAGGATGGCTTGATTGGGTCAATCAAAGATGTCTACTATGTACCAGACCTTAAGACCAACATATTAAGTCTGGGACAACTCACTGAAAAGGGTGCTTCGATCCTGATGAAAGATCAAACACTACAGTTGAAGGACAAAACAGGATATCTAATTGCTGTTGTCGAAATGGAGAGAAATCGAATGTACAAACTTAACTTGAGGAACATTTGAGAGAAATGTCTGCAGATCGAAGTGCAAGACAAAGCGTCACTGTGGCACATGCGCTTTGGTCACCTACATCATGCTGGTCTGAGAAGATTGGCGAAAAGGAACATGGTGCATGGATTGCCAGACATGGAGTTCGAAGGAAAATTCTGTGAGGAATGTGTGCTCAGCAAACAAACCAGAACCTTATTTCAGAAGAAGGCAGAGTATCAAGCTAAATAAATACTCGAACTGATACATACTGATATATGTGGGCCAATTACTCCAGAATCCTTCAGTGGAAAGAAGTATTTCATTTCCTTCATTGATGACTACTCGAGAAAAACCTGGGTCTATTTTCTGAAAGAAAAATCTGAAGCACTAGAAGTGTTCAAGAAATTCAAAGTAATGGTGGAAAAGGCAACAGAAAGAAACATCAAATCAATTCGATCAGATAGAGGAGGAGAGTATACTTCGATTGCCTTTGTGAAGTACTGTGAAGAACAGGGCATAAGAAGATTCCTTACTGCGCCATATTCACCTCAGCAAAATGGTGTGGCTGAAAGGAAGAATCGAACTATCTTTGATATGGTTCGATCAATGCTTAAAAGCAAGAGTATGCTGAAAGAGTTTTGGGCAGAAGCAGTACAATGTGTTGTTTACATTCAGAATAGGTGTCCACATTTGAAGCTGGAAGACAAAACACCACAAGAAGCATGGAGTGGACAGAAGCCAACAATCTCTCATCTAAAAGTTTTTGGTAGCATAGCTTATGCACATGTACCAGACCAACGAAGAACAAAGCTCGAAGACAAAAGTCAGAAGTTCATATTCATTGGATATGATGAGAAGACAAAGGGGTACAAGCTTTTTAATCCCATAAGTAAGAAAGTGGTTGTAAGCAGAGACGTTCGAATGAATGAAGCCAGCAAGTGGGACTGGAACACTTCGACAGAGGCTGGTGACACAGTCGAAGAAATAACTATAGCTGTACCAACAAACACTCCAGAAGAACATGAAGAAACAGAAGATAGAGATGAACCTCTACAACCCAGAATGAGAAGTTTGCAAGATCTGTATGAGTCAACAAGTGAGGTGCATCTTGTGTGCCTTCTGGCAGATGCTGAAAACATAAGTGTTGAAGAAGAATTAAGAGATGAGAAGTGGAAAAACGCCATGGACGAAGAAATTAAAGCAATCAAACACAACAAAACTTGGGAGCTGGTCGAATTACCAAAAGGAAGTCAACCCATTGGTGTAAAGTGGGTATTTAAGAAAAAAATGAACGCCCAAGGAGAGATCGAAAGATACAAGGCACGGCTGGTTGCAAAGGGATACAAGCAGAAAGCTGGCATTGACTATGACGAAGTGTTCGCGCCTGTTGCAAGAATAGAGACAATTCGATTGCTCATCTCTCAAGCTGCTCAGTTCAAATGACAAATATTTCAAATGGATGTCAAGACAGCATTTTTGAATGGTGTGCTCGAAGAAGAAATCTATGTCGAACAACCACTTGGTTATATGAAGGCTGGAGAAGAGAAGAAGGTGTTGAAACTGAAGAAATCATTGTATGGACTGAAGCAAGCACCTAGGGCATGGAACACACGCATTGATACATATTTTAAGGAGAGTGGATTCGAGCAATGCCCCTATGAACCAGCGCTCTATGTGAAGAAAAATGGAGGTGATTTATTACTTGTGGCTCTGTACGTTGATGATCTCATTTTTCTAGGCAATAATGTTAAGATGATCGAAGACTTCAAAAACACCATGACAAGAGAATTCGAAATGACAGACTTAGGTCTGATGAGATTTTTTCTTGGTCTGGAGGTTCGACAGGAAGAAGCTGGGATTTTCATATCACAAGAAAAGTATGCAAAGGAAATCCTAGAAAAGTATAAAATGAAGAATTGCAACCCAATTTCGACGCCAATGGAGCCAGGCACAAAGCTGTCGAAGTTTGATGGGGGAGAACGAGTCGAAGGAAGTAAATATCGAAGCTTGGTAGGCAGCCTTCGATATCTCACATGCACAAGGCCAGATATTTCACTTAGTGTTGGCATAGTGAGCAGATTCATGGAGGAGCCAGTTCACACACACTGGAAAGCGCTGAAACGAATTCTGAGATACATCCAAGGAACAATATCACTTGGGATGTTTTATTCAAAGACTGAAGACTACAAGCTAGTTGGATATTCTGACAGTGACTGGTGTGGAGATGTTGGTGATCGAAAGAGCACTGCAGGATACGTGTTTTTCATGGGAAACACAACTTTCACTTGGCTATCGAAGAAGCAACCAATAGTGACACTTTCAACGTGTGAGGCAGAGTATGTGGCAGCATCCTGGTGTGTGTGTCATGCTGTATAGCTCAGAAGGTTGACAAGTAAGATGAGGCTGAAGCAGGAAGGTCCAACAGTAATACACGTGGACAACAAATCAGCTATTGAGCTGGCGAAGAATCCAGTCAATCATGAACGAAGCAAGCATATAGACGTTCGATTTCACTTCATACGTGAACATGTGAAAGAAGGAAGCGTGGAACTAAGGCATGTGGCAAGCAAAGACCAAGCAGCTGACATCTTCACAAAACCACTATCAAGAGAAGTATTCGAAAGAGGCAGAAAGATGATTGGGATGCTGGATCGAAGAAACATTTAATGTTTAAGGAGGAGTTTTGTTGAAATAAAACATTAAATGGGTTAGAAATAAATGATTAGTATTAACTATGGTAGTAGGAAAGGCATTAGTTTTCTTTTGTAGTTATGTAGCAGTTATGTTGTTTAATTTACTGTTTTAGAATTGTAAAAGTTTTGTTTGAGTCTATAAAAGATCAAGTGTGTGTAATTTATTTACGGAGAGCAATATACAAGAAGTTAAAAGTATACAAAGTCTGATTAATATTCTACATGTTACATATGTATTCTTCGAATGTAAATATTAATATTGTGTGTGCTTATTTTTATCACTTATGTGTGGCATTAACTTCAGTTTTTGTGACTTGTTGATTTCACTCAGACGCTGAAATACTAAGAAAATAAGAAGGGTGATGTGTTTACTCAAGAAAAAAAGAATAGTATTGTGTGTATTATTGTTTCTATACAGCTTGACATGAATATATAAACTAACGAATATTCATTATAAAATGAATTATTTTCAAAGCAAACAGAATATTTGAGATTGAAATATTGCTTTTAAAAATTCAAAAACTAAATAATTGATTACTAGTAAGATTAAAAATTCAAAAACTAAATAA